ACCTAATGCAAATGATTCAATAAACTATACCGAATTATGAAAACGCTCGCACACACACACTTCTCGCTCTCCTTCGCATTCTTCGGCGGCGTGTGCGATTGGAGCGCGTTGGAGGCAAACACGTCAATTAAGCGGAATTAAATTCGATTCGTATTTGTGCACTCGCCATACTTACGCCGACGTGCCTTCAATAAACTACCAAAGATATGAACAATTGTGAACTGCACGAGACTGGAACGAAGTATAAATACTAGGATCAGACGTCCAAGAGCAAGTTTAACAAGAAATAAACCACGACAAAATCGATATCATGCAAAATGCAAAGTAATGCGTATAATTTCCTTATAAAGCAAACTTGATAATTACTGTGCGTATAATTACTTTCAAGAAATATTACTTATATATGTAATTATTAATTTATTCATTGAGTTTTTAAAAACGTTAAATAAACCATTAACTATATTAACATTTAGCGATCCAATTAATATTCTAATGAGTACCTACGCATTTTTAAACATCCTCAGTTTTAATTTTTGCTTTTAATTGATATAAATTAATTTCTGCGATTTTAAGTATTTATACAGAATATTTATTTAAAAAAAACAACATAAACATCGATTTTTCTTGCTTATAAATAACTGAACCAGTCTTCCCAGCACTTGAACGTACTCTAAATTAATTATGAATTGTGATGATCACACGCACGCAGAGCACACATTACGCATGTTGCTTCTCAGCGCATATTGATTATGATTAGATGGCGGCGGCGATGCTTTGGTTCACTTGGGAATGCCTCGTTGGAGCGTGATTTATTTCCATGCCATGTACATGTTTACCAAGTGAACGTTTTGAAAATATACGCGCGTGAAAATAAACGGGCGTTAAAAGCTCGTGCGCACGAATTCGTAATTGAGCCATTCCATTTGAATCAATAACAAAACGTATTTTACTCGCCGCACACCGGAAAGCCATACCCATACGTAAATGCTAATTGTAATGGGCTGTTTAAAATGCGCACAGACAGGAAATTGTTGTTATTTTGATGTTTTTCGGTGTTTTCATTATAAATATCTGAATTTATTTCGATGTGTTTGGTGGTTGTCCAATGGCCAAGGCCACAGCAGCTAAAAAAACAAACATATCATGCGAAAGTTTTGGAAATACCGCAATTTAGAAATGGATCCAACGCTTCAAGGTTTCTTCATCCATCTTGGCGTTGCGCGGTATTGGCGAGATGAAAAGTTTTCGTTCAGACCCGAAATGCACACACGCTGCTCTCCATACCTTTCCAATTTCTGGCTCGGGGCTTTTATTATTTCGCTCGCCTGCTAGAAAATGCATAGAATTCATAGAATTCCCACGTAGCGCCATTCCATTTGCGAATATCTGTGTGGTTTTTTTTCGTTTTTCATTTTTTTCCACTTTTCTACACTCGCGCTATGGCGAGCATGCAGTCCTCCACTGCGGGGCCAACAACTTGGAAACTTTTCCAATTTTCCGTTCGCAATTTCGCCCCGGCGTGTTGAAAACTTGCTGGTGGCGGCGGGCGTCTCGAGCGTTCATTTCGTTCCATTTCATCTTTTGTATGCGCGCCTTCACAATCTTTTCCATCTTCCGCCGATTTCCATCAACGCAAAAGCATAACACACATATTGGTAGCACGCAAATTGAATCCGGATTTATTCGCGGGGAGCAAACAATGCGGGGTCGACCTCTTGGGTTCTTTTTTTCCCGTCAGGTGATGATGGAATGTCATCAAATTTTCATTCTGTGGTAAAATATGCTGCGTGTTATCTACTTCTTTTTGTATTTCGCAGCGTCTTTAGAAATTCAGTGACATTTAGCACGTTTCATTTGCTTCCATTTGTCTTTATTAATCCGTAATTTACTTTGGCTTCTGTTTGCGCACCACCCCTAATAACATAATACACCCTTCTAACTTTTTCACCTTCATCTTCTTTTTTCGGCTCCGATGGGAGAGATTATATTCCCATCGTCTTATAAATCTAGGGGGAAATATTTTTATATAAAACAAAATGGAAAAGAAGCGCAATTTTAAAAAAATCTAATTTTTGCATATATTTACTTATCTATTAGAAATAATAAAAACAATTGTTGGGCGAATAATACGCCAGTAAAGAATGCGAAACTACGTAACACAGGTAGCGATATGAGCTGGAAATATTCAACGTATGAAGTCTTTAAACAGCCATACGAATGTAAAACCGCTCGTAAACGAAACGTTAAACAACACCATAAAAGAAATAAAGCAAAAGCATGACTGGGGCGACATGAAAAATATCACATCATAAAATCGACTTGCCTTGTACATTTTTTCGCTGCATTTATCAATGACTCGACTAAATTCCTACCTTTTATGTCACCGTTAAAAACAAACGTGAAAAACACAACAATATTCTATTATATTCAATTCAATTCTATAAGATCAATGTCCTTATTATCACATCACGTAAACCAATTGATTTATTTACTGCAATGACGCGCAATAATTGTCATAAATCAATCAATCAGTGACTCTGTTTATATGGTTTGTAGTGTTCATCATGTTTATAACATTCATCTATAACTGTTTGTACTGGTTACTTTAATTAATCAACGATAACTAGCGCAGCTAGTTGTTTTTGCTTGTATATTGATTTTTCATTTAATGGCGGCCAATGCGTAGCAAATAAACGTTAATTGTGTTTTATGACGAGCCACAACACATGACATTTGGATGTTATGATAACAAACTGTGATTTATTCCTGTTGACTTTCATGAACTTTTGATAAATTATTTTTATTTCATTTTATAATAATATTTGCTTCTATACGATAGGTATAATAATATTATTTCTAATTATTCAGATTGTTTCGTGTATTTCATGCTGCGTGATTAATATTCATGCGATTGTTTCAATTGTTTGAACGCATGAATCGCGTGAATGCTCAAAACTTATCATACAGGATCATTAAAATGGCAGGGTTGAATAAAATGATGCGATTCATAACAATCCTGTAGATGTGGTTTAGATAAATTAAACAATTGCCCAATCACAATTGAAGCACAAGCGTATGAATAACAACAGGTTACGGGACGCATGCGGATTGTTTGTTTTCATTATTTGAATGGAAAACACCGAAGAAAACAACGCACGCCGAGCACGACGTACCGTAATTACCAATTAGGGTGGGATCATAAATGCGCGACGTTTCCAAATGGCCGTAAATAATATTTATGAATGCATAATATTAACTTATTTGGTATTTTTTCGACTTTTGTTTGTGGCGATTTGTTTTTTCTGTTAAAGTTAAACTCCTTTAAGAAGAAGATATTATGAATGTCGGGTGTAATTAAAAATTCTCACGTTTTAACGAAATTATAATTTTATATTAATTGCAAAACGTGGGCCGCGCACGGAACATATCTCGCATTTATAATTGTTCTTTGCGAGAGTCGGGGCGTCATTTTCGCTAATTGCGTACGTGATGCGCCATATTTTTAACGTCCCCAGCCGGCCCAACAAAATAAAACGCAAAGGGTTATACGACATTATCAAATTTGTTAATTGGCCTTCTGCCTCCTGCGCAGAAGGGCCAGAAACTTTGTAAATTTACGATGACTTTATTTGGGTATAGCCCCGGTTACAATTCGCAGGAATATAATCAAAATAATAAAGTAAGTAAGTTGCTTTTTTTCGGTGACGTTTTGCAATATTCATAAGTTAGACTTGGAGTAAAGTCACGTGCGCCGGATGCGTCCCAAGACGAACAAAAGCGCACACATTGAGAAATAACGAAAATATGAAGCTGTGGAAAAGATGAGAATGCTGTGGTCGTGGATTTCGAAAACTATTGCAAACTAAAGCAATGACTTTGGGTCCAGAATCCCGTTAGATTCCCCGATTCCGAACCGCAAACTATGACGGAAGGCAGAAGCGATCGGCAAGTGGCAGCACGCAGTGTCATAAATAAACCCTCGCCCGCTGCGATGGCAGCAATCCGTTGATTCTTTCGAATTTTCGACGCTGCGGACGGGCAAAAAGCGAGGCGAACAAAAACTGGTCACTGTGGCGTCACAGCCCTTTGTGTATTTATGGAATCGATATTGGAATATTGTGCAACAGCAGCCAGCAATACAAAAAATACAATATTGTTTCTTTCTTCATCTGGGGTGTAGTGGGTTAAGGCAATAGAGTCACTTGTAGCAACTGTTATGTAAAACTAACTGTTACCATGGTGCATTACTTTAATTTCTTCACATTTAAACTCAGGCAGCATACTTTTCTGAACAAACAAGAACAATGCACAATGCAGATGCCGATCGTGACATTTTCCGAGTCAGACAAAGCAATTAATCTCACAATGCTGTTGGTAAAAGGCTTGTCTAATTGTGAGCAAGGTATTAGAAGAAAACTATTCCTGTCCTTTCTGTGCGCTGTCCCGGGAAGCCGGAGGAATTAGACAATTGCAATGAAGCGCAAAGGCAATGAATTGCACGTAATTCTCGCCCGAGTTGATACTGCCAACATTCCAGCGACATCGGAATATCAAGGCATTGAGATAAACGAGTCCCCGGGTCCCCAGGACTGCAACGGACGCATTGCATCAAATGTTGCTCTTTTTATTGAAACGGGTGCCGGCTGTCGCCAAGCAAGATGCGCGCGCGGAAAAACGAGCAAACGAATTAATACCCAGAGCGTCGGGGAGCTGGAAGAATGCAGTCGATGTAATTTTAGCAATTCGTGACTGCAGTGGATAGACTGTGGACAAGGCGACATCAGACATCATGGCCAATGCACTCATGAGATTCGGCTGTGGTTTTTATTTTTAGCAACGCGAGAATAAACTCAAACACACTTTACACTCACACATGTACCACGTGGTGTGGTTATATTAATATAACCTCAAATGCATTACGTAAAAAATTACATATTCAGTGTGCTGACAGATTTTCAGCTTAAACGTTCATTTGACTAAAAGTGTTTTAATTGTTTCAGAATCAAATTGATCTATGACATCAAAAATTACTTCATTTGGTGAGTTTTTTTTAGTATTTTTTATGTTTTAGTTGTGTAAATGTAACTTAAGTCGCTTTTAAATGAAGTTGAACAAATCGCAGGTACTTTTGTTGTTTCCGCTTAAATGTGTGAGTGTGTACGCTAGCAGAAGTGTGTTAACTTTCGATAATAATAATCGCCATAATAAAATGAGTTTACGAGCGCGTAAACGTACTACCGTACTACCGAAACATGACATAAAACGCACACTAAACTTCTCGCCATCACGACCCACCGGTATGTGGTGTGTCTCTTCATTCATCAATTCTCTACACTTGGAGGTCAATTGAATCAGCCGCGTGCATTCAGAGGTCATCTGATCAATTGCCGCTTTCCGGTTCCGCGTAAAAATGGACCACATTTACAAATTGCGTATACATAGTGGCAACGCTCGTAAAAATGGCGTAAACGACGCAATAAACGCAGAGCGATGACGAAATAATAAAACGTCGTTTGTCGCCCGGGCGCGTCCGTGAAGGAGTGCGTCGGTTTTTGCGGCAGGTCAGGGACGCGTTCCTCGGGTCGTAAAAGCACTGCTTGTGGCTGGCGAATTCAGGACATTTTCGCACCCACCTTGTGCGTGTGTGATGTATATGTATACTAAACGCGTATAGTATTAGTCATAATTTTATGACAGGATCATAAAAATGATCGTATAAATCAGCTGGGTGGCTGAAACACAACAAACCGGCGGAGTGTTTAATGACATAACGGAAAACAACGCTGGAATTCGTTCTTTACGCGATTAGAACGCATGACCAGTGAGCATGCGTTTACTATGCCAATTGTACGGATGTGAGGAATATTGAAAGTTTCGGTATGCCATGCGACTCTCGCTCGTCTCGGCTACCGTCTACCGTCGAAAGTGTACCGCGTTTCATTGACTCTTAAAACTTTACGACGCATAAAAGTAACCGTTTATGGGGCAATTCCGAGCTACTAGATCCACAATCAATCTCTTTTGTGCACACACACTGTGCCACCCGCGATTTATACCGCTTCTTACATGTGTAATTCGTTGTCTGTCTCTCGACGCCACTTAACAACCTACAACTTACCGTTTAATGTTTACGGCCGATGTGCGAAACATGCGATCATCACTGGATGATCATCTCGCATGAATGAAACGCAGGATGCAGGCTGGTAATATAAATGGCCACATAAAATGGCTATTAACACCTGTTTTATGTCGATTAGTGATGAATGTGCCCATTTTCATAACCGCGCATGCGCGTTGAATTATGCAGGCGGATATGACTATCGCGTTTGGGTTTGAGTGTTAATATTGCTAATTAAGTCGAGTTTTAATTTTAAAACGGTTAATTAAGCCGACGTTACGGCCCCGCGTTCCTATACTGTATCTAGATCATTTCTAATGAATTATGTAGGCATGTAGTCAAGTGGAAGGTCGTTAGACATGGCGTTGTATGATCTCAGAGGTCTACATGACCTTCCTGTGATATTTTCAATGGTTTTACGTATCAAAAAACTAAAATTTAGATCGAATGCCTAAAATACTAGTTGGATGTGTGATGCTGGCGCAGCATCAGATCCGTCGAAATGGCAGTGCGTCGACGTGGTGATGAAGCTCCCACCATCTTGGGCACATTGGCTCGGAGCCAACCGGCACCGAGATCAAGGTCGTTCATCTCAAATTCGGGCACGGCCCAAAACATGATGGCTTCCAGCAATGCGCCCCACTCATTGGCGCAGCACCCTCAGTGGGGTCGTGCCTGCGGGCCATAAATTATGTAAAGTCGGCGGGAGGCATGATGGCCGCACACCCGCTGCGCCAATCCCAAGCTGGAGCTTTTACTCCGGTGGGGCTCTACGGCCATAATTGTTCCTGCAGCCGCACGCACTCTCACAGTTTGGCTAACTTCCGTTAGATGGCTCCGCAAAACCACCACGGAGCTTTTCCAGTCGCCATATGCATAAAAGCACATACTCTGCATTTATTCACTAAAAAAAATTCGCCCCAGAGCAAAAATTTCAATGACAGATTAGGATTTACGATCAATTAGCGGTGAGATAATGAAGTCGGCGCTACAGTGAAAGCAGGAAAAAGCTTAATAGAGACGAATAAATAAAACGGGCCATTATATCACGGCCGCACGGCCTCGGATTGTGTTGGTCTGGGCTCTCAGGTCGAAGCCTTCGTGCATGCGACACGCCGCGCGCCGCATTTATAAACTAACCAAGAATAGCATTTCATTTTTATCTACGACCGCGCTATTGGATACGCCGCACACCTATATGCGGCGGCACATTTACATAATCCCCGGTGCCCCGGGTAGGTGAGACCCGTATCGGGTATGAAGCGGCGATAAATTACGTCGAAAGTGCTAGAAACGTAAAGTGCGCGCATGTGGAGTACTTTGCTCTATTGGTTTTCGGGCGTTCGGGGCTTGCACCAACGTTTGCCGCATGATTGCAGGTTCTCGCCTCGTTCTACGAATCTATTTTTAATGCGATACCATAGTAAATCTTTCTTTTACCACGCGCGCAGAGGACAAACCTTTAAAAAATCACTACCAATCAAAATATTTTAATATTTACCTTCCAATGTCGTTTTGTGCAAATATTATTGTTGTAATATGGCATCCCAGTGCGTAGCTAACTATGCATGAAAGTAAAACTAATGTTTGTCGGTACGTTCCACATTCAAATGCTAACAACACCATAAACTGTGCAATTTTATTCTGCTGCTTTCTTTCGTGCAATGCTTATTGTCATAATCGCATCCGCCGACAATAATTGCGATTTGCTCAAGCCACAGCATGAATAAATTAGATTATCATGTGACTATGAGTACACATGTAGATTTTCCACTGATATAAGAGATGTTGGGATGTTTGAATGCAAAATATTATTTTGTAATTGTAGAATTACGCATAGGGACACCAAATATTTCTTTAAAACTATTTATATTTAAATAATTTGATTTTGGTTGTGTTTGGCAACCCTATAAACAGCAAAAACTTGTTGTTATCGTTGTTGTTCTTGTTGGTGCGTCCAAATTGCATTTGCGGCATGTCGCGTCCATGCATATGGCATGCACGAATGGGCATGAAGCCCCGCCGTCGTAAGTGCACTTGGTCGTCATTAACGTTAGACGTAACAGTGTAATTCAATAAACATAAACGGTTTACGGTCCACCGGGCGGTGGAAGACCGCTGGCTCTGCAGTCTGCTGCGACAACTTTCCGCATAAATAAATATGTCTGTACTTACCTTGGCGTAGCACAGACGAGCACGCAAATCTAATCGAATTGCGCATTGTCTCGTCTATAATTCAATTGTCTCGCTGGCGTTCGATGAATGACTCATCATTACTCTTACATGCGTGAAAAATATTGTTAAAAGCAAAAGAATCAAAGATTAATTCTAAATTTCTGCTTATTTATCAATTATTTTGCAAAATTTTCTTAACAAGTGAGTGAAATGTGTTGGGAACCACCTGGAGTGTAGAGAAAAATGCATTAAAATATTCAGTTACTAGTGTTACCACCATTTAATGCAAATCCAGGATTAGTGTGGAGCATTTGATGTAAATTACGCAAACAGCTCGAAAGTGTTGCATTAAATTACGCGTTGCGTTCCTTTCGCGTGCACTCGCTGCAGAGAGCGATAAGATAAGAAAGCGCGCAAATTAATGCTCGCGCCCAGCCAATCTGAAACGATCTGAGACCCGGCGTGTGTTGCTGCGAAAAAATCCCTCGGAATAATGCAGTCAAATCCACAGCGCAAGCCTTTCTGGAGAGAAAAAGGTAGAAAAAAAGCAAAAGTAATGCACGCACCGAGCAATAAAATCGTCGGTTTTATGTTGATAATGCACTCGTTACCCGAACCTTTTACTTGGCGTCTTTTACGTGGATTTTACCTTTGCGCGCAGACCAAAGACGCCGAGCGTTTCTGAAGCGAAACGAAGATCATTTTGCAATAAATTTTATTAATCATTTATTCCCGCTTGAAAAACGAAGACTCCGTCGGCAGTCGGATGAGTTTAATGAATGCGTACGGTGAGACTCGGCCCGAAACGCTGAGCGTGCTGGTCAACTCGCCATAATCTTCATGCACACTACAAAAAAGAACACAACAACGTATTGAGTAAAAGAAATAACAAGAAGACGCGGTCACAATGCGATGATCGTTAAGTATCCAAGTTATTGGAGATTATAACGTAATTTACGGCCGCAGTGTTCATTTGTCCAAGGCAGTAATAAGAAAAAAATCATCAACATTCATTGATCTAAATATTTAAATAAATTAAAAGCAATTTTTTCGCTCAGAAAACAAGGCATCAGACACTTTTTGGTTGGTTTTGTAAAAAACTTGTTTAGACCAGTTTATCTTGTCTAATCCCGTGTGAATTGACGGATGGCAATCACATTACCACCTTCCTTCCGTCCGTCTGTACCCGGAAAAGTGTTCCGACATGTCGTTTGGCGCACATTGTTGTGCGCGAACACGCAATCGCATCACACGTTATGTGCGCTTCTATCTTCTTCAATTGCGGCAAATTTAGGCTTCAATGGCGGGCGGGAAGGTATGAAGCATGGACACGTCCCAGATGAATGTCGGACGGAAAATACTATTGCAATTTCCTCGCTGCAATCGCGTGCAGATTGCTTGTTGTAAGACTCTGGAGAAATTCAACTACATACGAGCATATGGGGTGAGGGTAAGAGTAATACGCCGAAACAAAATGGAATGGAATGCAATATGCTACAATACAAGACGTGTGATGTGTGTGATGTGTGAGAAATGTCTTAAAATGTAACACAGTTTATAATTTAACTTGCGCCACATCTAATTGGTTTAGTTTCGCTGTGAAAGTGTCGCTTTTATGTGTAGTAAATCTATTTCTTGATTTTATTGTTTAGTGCCTTGATTGTCTTGTAAATTTCCGGCTGCGGTAAACACGTGATGGTTTATTCTCAGCGCTGAGAAGCGGGACCTGAAATAAAACAAAATAAAACATAAACGCTCACATAATGACGTCTCAATTGGACAATAATGGTAATAACAATAACCGTAATGTGGTAATATAATAACCGCATGCGTGTGTCCACAATAAAAATCTAAATAATAAATAAAAAAGGGAATAAAACGCCGGCGTCGATATATATTTATATGAATGTATTGTATTTTTTTATGCGCGGATATTTTTGAAGCTCATTCAGTATTTATTCGTTTTTACAGTGTGTTTATGACGGAACAATTCAGCGTTTGTTTAATTTTTAAACAGTTTCCGTTGTTGAGTTATCTGTTTAGATGATCCGGTCCACCGGGGAGAAACAAATAACAAGGATCAGTATAATATATAAGACACATTCTAGAAATAAGTGGAAAGTCTTCCGGCAGCGCAAATTTCCTCCACCCCGAATATACACAAGGGTCGTATAGTTCTAGTTCCACTTTCGGATCTTTGGGCATCGACCAGCAATGTGTCTGTCGCCTTTCTCGCTTCCTCGTTTTGTTTGCCGCCCCTGAGAGCACAGGGGAACTCAACTCGTCTTGCAGAGTTTCGCTCCCTCGCGTCGCGTTTTGCGTTCCGTTCCGTTCCGGGCACGCCGCACCGCAGACCCGCAGACGTGGCCTGACGACGTCGTAAACTCGACGAAATACTGGCGCTGGCTACCGGTTCAGACCGGCGGTCTCCTGCCCCCGGCTGCCAGTTTCCACTTTCTGCGCGCACACAAGACCAAAGCGGCTGGAGGAGAAAAAAGCGCCCGCGCGCGCGTCGCATAAAGTTATACTTTTTATATAAAGCGTCATGCTCGGATCGGCGCTGGGAATTACACCTGCACCTAGATGGCAAATAATTTACGAATTTTAGTGGCGAATCGAGCGCGCACACCCATCTCCGCCATGTTGCAGCAAGGGCATTCACCATTACATCAACTGCAACAAACAAAAAATTACAAATTTTTACATTGATTTCTTTTGAAGTCAAAAAACGTGTAAAAGGGATGTTTAACCCTTAAAATATAAAACTTTCACTTTGTGCTTGTAGTTAACAGGAATTTTGTGTCGCGTTGTAAAGTTTATTACTTTTTATTGATTCCGCTTCATTGTTACTTGTGTAACCCTTTCATTTTCAACCCTTTTTACTTTTCTTAGTATTTCACATGCTGTTAGTGTAGAAAAAGGGTTAAAAACGTTTTCTACAAACGAAGAGAAAGTTTTAATTCCAAGCGCATGCAATATAAACGTCTTTTCTTCAGTTTGCGCCATCCATCCTAAAATTCTTGTGCAATTGCAATTCGTACAATTCGGGTAAATGTACAACACTCGACGGCAAGTGTATACAAGCACAAGATGTGGCATTACGAATGTAGCAAATGTTTCTCGTTTTGTACAAATTGCTGCGCACGAAATGAATTTATTTGTACAAGGCTGTCACTTGCACCACTTTCCAACAACAAGGGAGGCAGTTGTTGCTCAAACATACAAAATCTAGATCTTCAGTTACATTTTTGGAAAAGGGAAAGTCCAAATCCATTGCGTTTCTTACATCTCCACTCGTGGAATTGTTTCTCTGGGGCCTCACCTGTCGAGGGTTCAAGATATACACGACAATCTATAGATGCATGAAGCTGGGGGAGGACTGTTCATTTACTTTTCCATTTCCATTTCGTTTCTCTGCTTGCTGTTCCCGCATTGGAAGCTGTTTAGATGGGAGCAGGTTGTCTTGGAAATTGTTGCCGCGCAAAGGGTGTCTGCTCCCTTTAATTTCGCACCCGCTCGTTTTTTCCCGGACTCGGCTCGAGTCGAGTGAGATATTGCTACGTTTCGACATTGGGTTCGACGCGCACTGCTGGGAATCGCCGGAATTGCGTTGTTGTGTTTCTCCCCAAGAAAAAAAAAACGGAGAAAAAAGTGTGAAGCAAAAGGTCAAAAGCATCCGAATGAGACTACTTGGTTCGTGCGACGACGAGTGTCAGGACTGCAAAGAGTAGGAAATTTGTCGGAATTTGCAATTTTGCAAAACGTGTACCGCATGCAAAATGTTTTCGTTTTTTTTTTTTGTTGTGTTTCATTGGGTTTTGAACTCTGTAGCTGTTGACATTTTGGTGAAATATTTAAATGGCAATTTTCTTGTGTTTTGGGTTTCTTTACATGCGTGGAATGCAAATTGTTGACTTGCGTTACAAAACCGCAAAAATTATTTCAAATATTTTCACTCTCATTACGAAAAATACTGAAAATAATTTACATTCGCACGTATAGCACAATCACAAATTACAATCACCATTGAATTTAAATAACGAATTTTGTTTAACTGCAAATTTAATGTAATTCGATTTATTAGCCAGTTTCGACGTAAATATTTAAATGCAAACAAGCATATGAACAGTATTTGGTTTTATATTGAATTTATGCATAGATTTCGGCCCCGGAATGGCGCACATGTCCATTGATTGCATTTCATTTCCTCGCGTTTCGTTTTTCGCATGGTGTGGTCGATTTTTGTTCGATTTTCATTTTTACCGCCGTCGATGCGACTGCAATTCGGCCATCATGCAATTGCGCAGCAGCCCGCTATGAAATACGCAAAGCTCGGTTTGAAAGCGCCGGCAGAGACGATATCAACACGCGCAGCGTACACCTATGAGCATAGAGGCCATTCCGGCGCGTCGGAGCCGGTGTCACATATCCTATGGATTTTATTCTTTTCCATTTGGTGATGCTACGGCCAGCAAAACGCAGAAATTGCAATTGATGTTGGAAAATTTGCATTGCTAAATTGAAAACGCCGCATTTATTTGCATAACAAAATTGGAAATTTATAAAACGTTCTAACTTCATATTTAAATTGTGTTAATAATCAGTTGTTTGGGTTTCAGTGACAGTCGAGATAAAAACAGACGCAGCGCGGATTAATCAATATCCATGTCTATAAATAACACCAGCGGGTGTACGAAATGGAAGCTAACGTGCGCACAGTTTCCAATTTCACATTTCAAATCAATGGCCGTATCAGTTTCACATGAATGCACAATATGCCATCACAACATTGCATGTCCACGAATTAAACTCAGTCTCCACCACGAACTAATTTACTAAGCAGTGCACTACAGTAAATTCTCGTTTAACATTTGAACTTTGAATAACAGACGTTCTATGCGCTTTGATGGAAAACGTAATCTTGATACTCGAATATGAATCCACAAGCGGAATTCTAGCGGAAGAAATTAATTGGTTATTTTTCTGATTTCATTATGTTTTCATTCTCGTTCATTTTATTCATGAATAAATTGTATTCTTTGCTTTGATTAAATTCATTGTTTGCTCTGTATAAGCTTTTTGTTTAGCTTTGACGTCATGTGATGCATGAATTTAAAATGTTCATTCATTTATTCCTTTGATACTCAAGTTAATCAGTTATATATTAAGCAATTAATATTTTTACGATTGGAATAATTTTACGAGGTACAAATTAACTTCCAATTTAGTTCGCAAAGCAAATCCTGTGATCGTTGTGTTTCGTGTCAGGAACTGTTTGGAAATGGTTGAGGATGGTTATGCACATTGAACCTCCCTCGTATCGCTACTGATGCATCTAGACAAGCTAACCTCGACTCAAAATGAGATTAGTACCCCACAGCACGAAGCTCCCTGTTCGCAAACACCCGACTTTCACGATGTCTCCTATCACCCCGCCCGCGCGCAACAATAGCGCCGGTCGCCATGCGAGTTCTTTCATTTCGCGATTTCCCCCATCGGCGATCTGCTCGAAATGAACCCACACACCAGCAGTTGTTCACAACGTGAGCAGCTTGATTCTTCAACATTACGAAACTTGTTTTCATTTACTTTTGCGCTGAAAAGGTCTTGTTAGAATTTTGTTTTGTTCCCGCTTGGAATTTTCTTATTCCTCTGCAAAAACACCAGCACATACGAATGTTGTGTGAGAGTTGTTTCATTAGAAACATGGTGTTTTTCTTTACTTGTTCACTGCGACGGTGTTTCTTGGGATATAACGCGGGGCACGTTTGTCGTTTCTATTTTCTTGCTATGGAGGCACGTATCGCGTTGGATCGTACCAGTCTGCGCTGATAACGAGCGCAAGGTAATGACGACAAATGGAATTGCGTCTGCCTGAACCATTTCGCCCTTGGACACGATGTTAACTCGCTTAGATTTTGAACAAAACAATTTCTCAAAATTTAGAAAAATATAACAATTTATACTAAGAAAATAAATTCACAGGCTTTTCGTTAATAGTTTAAACAACCTCGTTTATTATCCTTCAATATGTTTAATTATTTCGACCATATTTCTTTGATTTTTTCATTCATCGTCTACGTAGTCTAAGTCAAACATTAACGTTAACTTCAGTTTGAAAATTACCATCTGTTATTCGAGATTACTTCATCTTCTTTGAGCATACCGTCTCACGAATCCGTTGCTTATAGATTGTGTTAGTCATAAATAATTGTTACGTAATTGCCATAAAATTAGAAATACGCCGCAGTGAGGACGTAATACTGCGTAAATTAATTTTAAAAATCAATTTTATTCATTTTTTGAGTATTTAAATATAATTTTGTATGTTTTAATCTGTTTCAGATCAAATATGGAGTAAAACAACATGATGCGCACTGAACACGTGACCTGAGGCAGGGGGTATTGTTAAATAACGTAACAATAACGATTTAATTTAAAAATTACGAATTATTAAACAACCTGGACGTTTTTAATTAATTTGGTGAGTTGAAGATATTTTAAATAAGTGTTTGATGTTGTGCTTTTTGCAAATACCTTGCAGAACATTAATATCTATTTTTATGTTGATAAGAAATAACTACACAGGTACAACCTGCCTATATACTGCATAATAGCAAAGTCTAACGATTAAAATAAGCCATTTAAAGGTGCAAACTGCAATAGTCAATGCAATAGCAAGCAATTCACATTCCCGTTTGTACTTTGAATTTTTGAGTTTGGTGCCGTTATCGATTTGGCGCTGTCACAATAAAAATAGACCATAACTATAAAAACAAGCACACATAAAACACATAACTCCAACTCGTGGAGAAACGTGGTAATGTGCCCTTGAAATACATTGATTTATTAAAACTTGAACACATGCGCATTTTTATCACACGAATATTTTCGAAACGGTTTTTTCACGTCATTAGAGATACATTTCAAGTAAAACTAAAGCGCTGATAACAGCACATAAACAATAAAATAGATCATAAAATGTAAGATAGGATCAGCGTGGGTGTTTATCTGGTTTTCTCTTGCATTTAATTTAGCATTATTTACTGTCATGTTTAATATTCCAGACGCACTACGTCTGCGCGGCAGGTCTAACACGAGTAACACGTTCTTGCAATTTTACATTACCATATGCCACACATGTTTTCCTGCAAACACGTAAAGTCAAGAACAATGTGATGAAAAAGACATCTTGGTCATTTATATTTTATTTTTTGCTTTCTTTGATTTCCATTAACATTTCTTCTGTTATTTCTTCTTTTTGCCAAGTTAGTACGTGCTAATAATGCTAATAATAGCCATGAAAATTAATAACGCTGAAGATTGTATTCTTGGTTTGATTATATTGTATTAATTTCAGTTTTTCCGCATCGACACCACATCCAAAGCACGCGTTAAATTACACGCAGTAAACTAATTTTATTATTGTCGTCGGAGATCTAATGCGGAGTTTAGGTGGGCCGTAAACGTAATAATAAAGTAGGTTGTACTTCACTTGCGTAGTTAACTTTATATCTTGTAAACACACCTCACAAATGCACGTCATATCACACTCAAGTGAGGGTCACGCGAGAATGCATCTTGTAATTACAATTTAATTTTATTTTTTCTATTGCAAAGCCTACAATACTAGTTCATTGAGAACTTTGTTCTTGGTAGTTTTTTCACCACACCAATAAAAAGAACAACAAAGGGTTCCACAGTGTGAGTTCCGTGGTAGTACAATAAAAGTTTAATGGGTCCCAGTTAACGGTTTCCGAATGAATCGAGCTCGTAAATCGTAAATCAAACACACAGCGCTAGTACTTACGAACCTCTTCTCTTCTACATTTTGTACAAAAATTCAGCTACTGGTTATTGTGGTATTTTTGTTTTTAGTCCGAAAAATTTTGTGCACTGTTTTTAAAAGTTGATTTGGTTTGGTGCGTCGAGTGGCCATGTTACTTGCGGAGCTTTCTCTGTCTGATTCGTGGCGTAAAGCTCGCGCTATTGGAAAGGATCCGAAGATGGCCGCGCGGCTGACGACCGTGACCCCACCCGGATCGTTGCTACGGCAACCGGCGTATTCTCCCCGAGAGTTCGGGGAACCCTACACTCTCGCACACATCCAAATACCCACCATGATTTCTACTCTCCCTCACTCTCCATCTCCTTTCTACCCTTTTGGGGGATGGAATCATCACCGGTCTCCCTCGTTGCAAAATGCATGCGATGTTGTTCCAAGTGAAGGTTTTTGCTCCTATTGTTCCCGCGGTCTGCACATGCGTCCACCCTGGTTGCCAACGTCCTCATTCCTTCCAACTCACGAATTCAACCTCTATCGAACCCTGTCGCGCTTGTAGATGCCTGGGGCTAATTGAGAATCAATATCGCTAGACATTGTTCGGGGGGCTGCTGCTTTTAATTGTCCCTGGTTTTCCCGCTGGAGGCTGGAGCCGCCACCACTACTCACGCACAAACAAAACACACACAAATAGGAAACCAGCGAACGTATGGAGTCTGCGTGCGAGGGTTATCGATTTTCCAACTTGCAAGTTTCTGCCGCGCGTGTATACACTGTAAAATACGGTGGGTTTCTCGACTCAACTCAACGCGGTAAAAGCGCGAAAGAAACAAACGTCAAACTTAATTTGAAATATTGCGCAGAATGTTAGATTCGACCACGTTGGAGTCACGTCTTCACGTTCGCCACACGCGAACTACCCCATAACTGAATTCAACTCAACTGAGACCTTACTCAACTCTTTCACAAAATTAGAAATCGAATTTGGGAATTAGAAAGTTTTCAACCCTTTTCAAGACAAGCACCTTTGAAACTTTCTCTTGGCACTTGATTTCTAACACGTTTTCAGTAACATAACCCTTTTGGGGGTAGTAATAGAAGAAAACATGCGTTGCTTTCTATTTTTCGGGCTTGAACAACGTAGTTTTGTATCTTTGCCTATTTTGTGAAGTTTTTATTGACTTCCAAAATGCTGTGCGTTCTCATTAGAAGCTTAGGACCGGAACGTAGGAGTAGGGACTGAAAGTAAGGAAATTGAAGCAACACCAGAGAATATATATGAGCTCGTAAAATTTTATTGCCTTTTTTTCGTATTTCCAACCAGCATACTACAATTTGGAACCGCGGCAACTGCCAACGTCTTTCTCAAATAATTAACGTTTGTTGTTTGCTACATCTTTTGGAAATTTATTTGTTAAATGAAGATATTAAACGTTTATGATTGAAAACAACGATAAAATCGCAGCGTCTCAGAACGTGATTGACATCGACGGAGACGAACTTGAAACGCTTTAATTTAATGTTGGTAATTATTATGATTTTTATTATATAATTGCTCATAAAACACCTTCAATAATAATAATATTTTATTGATGCTCGTAAAATGCATTATCATAATATAAATACTTATAGTCGTAATTAATTAAGCAACTATCCGAAATGTTTTGCAAGAATATTCAGCGATTTGCATGTTATCTATGTTTATGTATAAGTAGTTTTTATTGACATTCAAAGGTCTGTTACATGTTTATTCAAAGTGTTTCAAAAGTAGAACAGAATTATTTATTGTATAACCATGTGAAATCTATGTCTCCAAATGTCATCTGGATGAAGAAGTGATCCCACGATGATATGTAGCCTCCTGTTACGTATACTGAAAGTATACCGGACAGAAGACACTCAGGATACATTCAGTATACGTACAGGGGGTTGTACATGCAAGTCAACTTGTGAGCCCGTCTGCACAGCCCCACCATGAAGAAACCTGCATGTGTCAGCACAATGATTCTGCAATTCGCCAATTTTTGTATGTTTGGGTCCACCATTGGTCCATTGGACTGACCTGAAAAATAGAAAGTTGTAGTATTTGCGATTTGTGCACAGTTTGTGTTACGAATCATGAAGCAAAATAAAACTTGAGAGGAAGTTACCCTCCCTGATGGCGGGTCATAAATTTATGTTTCTCCCCTTATCCAATAAGCGATAGATTTAAAAGGGTGCTAAACCCACGGGAAGTTGTCGAATCGAGTCAGCTGGAGGGTAGTGTTAGCTGGCGGTGAGTCCCTCGCGGGTTTCACGGCCGTAAATCAACGAAACGATGCGAGCTAAGGGAGCAACTGGCGTTTATGCCTTCAAGTTTACGGCGATTTTCGGTTTAAATGCTGCTTAATTTTGCTTCGATTTGAAATAAATTGTTGTTGTACTTACACGTTCAACACTGGCTTGCCACACGTTGTGTTTTATCAGTGGATAAAACTCGGTGGATGTCGGCTGGCTCGTAATTGTAAACTGAAAACACTTGATCGAATTCGTCGCGGCATGTGCGTGGACAACACCCGATCGGCTGATGGTGGTGGTGGTAGTTGGATACAAGGCGCAACTTCTCGGACTGTCAAAGCAATGTTTTCTCGGCGATATCTGCTGGCGACTTGATTCGTGCTCAGGTGACTGGGTGGTGGTGGTTGATACCTGCTCTTCTGTGTGTCTCTTTCTTTCGCGAGCGAATCGAATAAATTTCGAATGTTTTCGATGCCGGTGTGTGCGTGTGTGCTGATCGGATGATGATGCTGATGATGGTGAGTGAGTGTTTGGCGCGACCGATCCCGGCGAGTGTCGCCGACGGTGTGCGCGCCGAGTGCGCCGCGACGCTCCTCGCGAGTTGCCGCTTCTTTGCTGGCGTGCGCCGCGCACGCCGACGCAGCGCAATCCGAGGGGCGGCCTCCCCCGCGCACGTTGGTTATCCTGTGGGCAGGATTTACTGCTTTATCGCTGCGCTCGCGCTCCTTCGGCATCCAGGGTGTGGTGGGAAGACGGAGACGACCATCACCTGCAAAACGCAAAACGTTTAAGCATATTTTTTGGTCATGTTTAGCTCTGGGTATGCTTCGAGAACAAATCCGGAACGAAACTGGTTAAAACATCAAAAAACAAGTTTCTGTTCGGATGTTGATTTTTTTTTTGTTGATTGAGTATAATCAATGGTCGCACCTATGGCGAATGGTCATGCTGGTCTCGCGGAGAGGTGACCGGATTATAGAATTATACGCTACCGGAGCAGTTGCTACCTACACCACATTCTCTCACCGTCGTCGCTGTACGCACAAAATACAAGTATGGAAGACCCGCCGGCGGCTGATGGTGGGGGCACATCTATAAAAAGGCGTGGTCATTCGCTACTCTCTCTCTGATGGCGAGAGATGACGGTTAATATATGATTATGGCCGTCCTGTGCTGCCATACTCGCCACGCAGCGCCGACGGCCGCCGGCGTAACCAGACGCGCATCCCTCGTGCACTTAAACGACACGACGAGATAAAGACCGGACACCGGCGGGCCATTTGCTATAGATAAGGAGGGTCCCACGTCTATTGACGATAAGACCTCTCAATGGGAAAGCGATTTCGATTAAGAAGCCATCACTGCACAACTATCTTTGAGGACACTAACCAGAACTAGGAGCTGGATCTTCGACCCGAGAGGGCATTGTGACCAAAGATCTAACAGAATTTTCTTTGACTTACTTTATTCCAACGTGAACTCAAAATATCGCAGATGTCTAATGGGTTTATGGGATCTGCGGTTCTTCAATGACCTTGGGTGGTTTCGTAGTTCTCACGACATTTTAATTAATCCTTGAGCTGTGAGCCCAAATTGGAAATCTGCAAATAACAGATCAATAAATAATATGTTCACACTGAATTTATACACAAGCACCACATGCTTTTGCTTCAAACCGAAACAAAACACTTGTCCGACGGATGCCTGCCTTACATAGATGTAAAACAGTATGACCAGCCTGGAGTGCTTCACTTAACTGAACTCTTTACTTTAACGGGAGTACTATTACAATTGCACTCACTGAACAGTAAGCTTGGAGGTGGGCTTAGACTTTTTGCACGACCACATCAAGCGATGTCACCGAATTGACTGCTGGGCTCAACTGCCATTCATCGTCCTTCCAAACCAAGCATTGTACTCATCACACACTCACACACATGCACACCAACATGATATGTATGCCACATGCGTCGGCCCCCCAAAAAAGTGTCTCATGCTCAGATTTACAGCCGTCTACTGAATGAATAATGACAATTCGCAGGCAGATGCAATTCAGATAATACCTATATATGTGAGTGACGTATGCGTGTCGCACTATTGTATTGTATTTTATGCCCCCTCTTATGGCCGGCGTCGCGACCCCGCGCGCATAACCCACCTATGTGTGTAATGTCTGCAAATAATGGGCCTGGAACCCCTGTACGTTCCCATCTCAGCGTCCGCCCAGCACCGCACAGCCACATAACCACCTCAACGTATGTGTATCCATCGCGCCCGCAGACTGCTATTGCTTCCATTCGTTCGTTTGCTTCATTGCTTTCCGAGTACAACCCGGACTTTGTTCGCATACCGGGTGTCATCAATTCACCTCCTACATCTACTTCTATCTGAAGTGTTAAGATGTGCGTTTGGAACCCTCAGTGTGATCCGGAGCCATTCTTTTTCATTCTGATGCACATTTCCACATTCTGGTTCTGTAGCAGCGCGCGCACGCTGGAAGAAAAAGACATGATGGTCTTTAAAACGTACATTTTATAGAACGCGCGCGACGCAGACAATACAATACAATACCTAATAGCGGGGTCGGATGCTGTCGGATGTTCCATGTGGGTTGTTCGCTCTCGTCCTGTCGCGTGTGTACGTATTCCAAACGTACAATTTATCCTTACGTCCTTAGATTGTTCGTATCGTACAACTTGCATGAACCTGGGTGCTAAATGTCTTCATAGCACATCTAGAAGAAAAGAAAATATACGATTAACAAGCGATAAATTTGTAATTTTACGTGTTTTGTTTTTATTTCTGCATTTTTTCCGCGCCACTGCGTTGGGAGTTCATGAAAACCCAGTTTTATGGTGTCCTTGAGCATGAAGATTACTTTTTATTACTTTCCTGCCACCCCTATTTCTATTTCTACGCAGTGTTGCGCTTTTTTTGTATACGCGTTGAAAGGTTGCTGCAAAAAGGTTTTTTAGTGACCTATAGTTGTAATGTTGGCTAGACTTCGAGACACAAATGTGTTTGATGATGCAATGATGCACTAATGCGTTTGGATTAAAATAGCCTTCGGATCTCCACACTCAACGCATGCATTCTTTGGTATATACCTAAGTCTACATGATCGTTACGAGGATGATGACACATTCGCCAAATCTGCTCAACAACTGCAATTCTAATGAATTGGCGAATTTCGTACTTTGCGATTGGATGGATATAGTCACGATGCTGTAACGCATTTGCAATTATGCAAATCCACAGGTTTAATAACTTGTACGACGGCCATTTGTCCCTTTCGTCGTCTGTCTGGAATTACCACACCGCCATGAATATGCGCATCAAGCACCAACGTAAAATTAAGCTTTCCAGCGAAAACGCAAGACGTGAAGAATTTCGTCCCATAATAATTTCCATTTTTGCACGACTTACGAGCACGACGTGTAGAGGTAAGGTAAATTTCGGCGAATGTTTCATCCTTTCGTCGCAAACATTTTTCGGGCCTCCTTTTGGGGGACATTTTGTGCGCGCATCTTACCCACATCTAAAGTGCGCGCTTTATGTGTTGTTTGATGTTTGCACATTTCTCATGTTGTTATTGCCGTTTGTTTTGGTGTTTCTACCTTCTTCTGGGAAGCGCGAGACGTCATTTGACGCCCGTTTTAATGGCGGTGTTTTGTTGAATTTAAATTGGGGGTTGAAACGGTAACAGCCGAAAAAACATAAAGTGCGCCCAACGCCAACACAACAACGCAAACGCGGAAAAATGTTTACGTTCAGTTTCGCCGCCCTTTCCTCTCTCTGCTTTGCATTTTGATGGTTAGCTTTTGTAATCTTCCCGGTTTTCCGCTCTGGGCGCGACACCGGGGAAAAAATTGCAAATGCCAGCGGGCGCACAACACACCAAATATCATCCGTGACGCACACGTGAATTTTCATTTAAATCGCCACATTTATATTTTCACAAAAGGGTAACGCACGCTTTTTACAGCGGGACAGCCGGAGGCAGATGCGCGTTACCGGCGGTACGCGCCCTTTTTCGGTTCGAGCATTTTTCGACTCCGAAGAGTGGTGCAGAATACTAGCCACCGACCTATTCGTATATTATTTCCATATATCTTGTCGGAAATATCTACAATATGAAGCTCTTCTCTTGTTGTACAAAATGCTGCTTTGTAACCTTTCAAAAAAATTCATTCATTCAAAAAAAATGTTTTTTTGATACTTTAACCTCATATGCACTTGTTCAAAGTTTATTTACGATTAAAATTACGCACCACCGTGACTACATGTAAGTGCTATTACTATTATGTGTTTCCACAGAGCTCTGTACTCCGTCTGTACCATCTTGGCACACTTGGCACTCGCGCCGAAAAGCTAAGACGTATGTGTCGGAAACGTGCAGAGCGCGCGCGCACACCGCGGCACATATAACATTAAATTACACACATGAAATGTTATTGTCCCATATATCCTTCTTGGCACCGTTTTGATACTCGTTTCGCCTTCCGTTTCGAAACGCTGCTGCATCGCGGAACACCAATATAATGTTTTCAAGGTTCCTCAAATAGAATCGCAGATTATTTATTATAATGCAAATTGTAACAATCGCAAAACGTAAATGACGTCTCTTAATTAAAAACACCGTATTTGGTTACAACACAAAAAAGTATGATGGCGTGCATTTTTGCATTTTGCTCGCCGGTTTAATAACGTATTTCAATTATTTTCATATTTAATTAAATCTAAGTGCGTCTCGTTTGTGTGCTGGTGTGGTGTGTCTGAAAGAGGACGCCGCCGGTGCGGCCAGAGCCTTAACTCGCTGATTATGGGTTGATAATGCGTACTTTGTTAAGAACGGCGGCGCATAAAGTAACGCAAAGTACTGGTTATTTATGCAAAAACGGCTGCGACCTGCGTGCCGCCGTCGAAACAAAAAAGCAAAGACGCAATTGGTGTAAGTTATTGTCACGTTAGCCGCTAACTGATTGAAATGATTAAGCGAATTATAAATAGAAGAAAAACTTAATATTCAGTAATCGTGGATAAAGAATAGTATTCGACATTTACTTAATCATACGTGGCTAATAGAGCCATTCGCCGTTTAAATTTACAATCGAATGCATTCGCCATAAATTGATATAGTTTATATCGCAATTTCTAATGCTACTTAATGGCCTTAAGTGCTACAAATCTGTTTTTCGTAGATCGACCATATTTAAGTATAATCCTTATAGGGCTATCTATTCCAGCGGTGTAATTTTTAATCGCGCACTATAATATAATCTTCAGTTTATTATTCGATGCGTCACATGCAGCATTTCCAATTCCAGCCATATTGGTGCGTTCGCTCGACCATTGGTAGAGCTGAGCGAGGAGCAGGTATACCAACGCCGGGTCCAAGTTGACTCCGAAGCTGCTTAACGACATAAATTACCAGCAAATCTGCCCGAATGCCCGTATACAAGCCATGGGTACGACAAACGCACGTTTTTTTTTCTGTCCTCTTTGCCTCCTCCTTCGACCACGCTGGCCGTAAATTGAAAGTTGTTGTTTCTTGCTTCGACCCGAGGCGTGTATTTCTTTCTACTTTTCATTAGTTGTGGAATCTTATGACGCTGGTGATCATGGAGCACCGAAATGTTAAACACCGCACAATGCCATGCAAGTGAACAATAAATAACCGGAAATAAAGACTAAAACCCAACCCGGCCCAGGCCCAGTCAAGGTCTCTTCTATTTGTCGTTCTTAATCTCTTTTTTTACTGTTTGGTGCTCACCAACAGTGTAGGCTTAAATAAAATTGCTGATTTTATGTGTAAAAAATCGAATTTTGTGTATTTTTGTTTTGGTACAACCCTGGCCTAGTAAAACGTGTCCACCGCTCTTACCTTTGTAGTTTCCGTGTGTTGTAACAAGTACAATTCGATTTCCTACGGGAATAATCATCTTGATTGGTTCATAAAAATAAATTCTCCATGGTATTCTCCACTTTCCGTGTCTACCTTTCTTTGCCTTCTATTTTTTGCTCCCGTTTCGACGTTTTCGACTCTAATACTTTTACTTCTGTATTGTTTTTCCGGCGCCCGCCCGAAGTCAGTTTCATCTGGCTTTTTCTATTAGCAAAAAGCGCAAAAAGGCAGAAACCAACGGCAACCGGAACAATTTGCGCATTTTCATTTTACAAAATAGATTAAACTGCGTTTGTCTTCGTGTGTGCGAATGAGCGGAAATCTTTTCAACAAGAACTAGACCAGACACTACTAGTCGTGAATTTCTACAAATAAAAAGTGAT